TTCATTTGTGGAATTTATTTCCTTATTAATGCGTTTGAGCCAATCAGTTGTGTTGTGACAAGGTAGGGTTGGTATACAGAAGATAGCCCTATTTGGTAAAAGACCAAATCCATATTATGGCAAGAACAGCTCAAATAAGCAGAGAAATGTCAGTCCATCATTACTTTAAGACATGAAGGTCAGTCAATCCGGAAATGTTTCTTCATGTGCAGTCGCAAAAACCATCAAGCGCAATGATGAAACTGGCTCTCATGAGGACCGCCACAGGAATGGAAAACCCAGAATTACCTCTGCTGCAGAGGATAAGTTCATTAGAGTTACCAGCCTCAGAAATTGCAGCCCAAATAAATGCTTCACAGAGTTCAAGTAACAGACACATCTCAACATCAATTGTTCAGAGGAGACTGCGCGAATCAGGCCTTCATGGTCGATTGCTGCAAAGAAACCACTACAAAGGACACCAATAATAAGAAGAGACTTGCTTGGGCCAAGAAACACGAGCAATGGACATTAGACCGGTGGAAATCTGTCCTTTGGTTTGATGAGTCCAAATTTGAGATTTTTGGTTCCAACTGCCGTGTCTTTGTGAGCTGCAGAGTAGGTGAACGGATGATCTCCGCATGTGTGGTTCCCACCGTGAAGCATGGAGGAGGAGGTGTTATGGTGTGGGGGTGCTTTGCTGGTGACACTGTCTGTGATTTATTTAGAATTGAAGGCACACTTAACCAGCATGACTACCACAGCATTTTGCAGCGATGCGCCATCCCATCTGGTTTGGGCTTAGTGGGACTATCATTTGTTTTTCAACAGGACAATGACCCAACACACCTCCAGGCTGTGTAGGGGCTATTTAACCAAGAAGGAGAGTGATGGAGTGCTGCATCAGATGACCTTGCCTCCACAATCACCCGACCTCAACCCAATTGGGATGGTTTGGGATGAGTTGGACCGCAGAGTGAAGGAAAAGCAGCCAACAAGTGCTCAGTATATGTGGGAACTCCTTCAAGACTGTTGGAAAAGCATTCCAGGTGAAGCTGGTTGGGAGAATGCCAAGAGTTTGCAAAGCTGTCATCAAGGCAAAGGGTGGCTACTTTGAAGAATCTAAAATCTAAAATATATTTTGATTTGTTTAACACTTTTTTGGTTACTACATGATTCCACATGTGTTATTTCATAGTTATGATGTCTTCCCTATTATGTGTGTCCAAACTTTTGCCTCACAGGTCCTCAACTGGCAGCTTCATTAAATAGTACTTGCAGAACTGCACAACTGAGCAAGAGGACAAATACATTAGAGTGTCTAGTTTGAGAAACAGACGCCTCACAGGTCCTCCACTGGCAGCTTCATTAAATAGTACCCGCAAATCACCAGTCTCATCATCAACAGTGAAGAGGCGACTCCGGGATGCTGACCTAGGCAGAGTTGCAAAGAAAAAATCCAGTGTCTGTGTTCATTTGCCCATCTTAATCTTTTCTTTTTATTGGCCAGTCTGAGATATGGCTTTTTCTTTGCAACTCTGCCTAGAAGGTCAGCATCCCGGAGTCGCCTCTTCACAATCCTGTCTTGGAGCTCTACTGACAATTCCTTCAACCCCATGGCTTGTTTTTTGCTCTGACATGCACTGTCAACTGTGGGACCTTATAGAGATAGGTATGTGCCTTTACAAATCATGTCCAATTAATTGAATTTACCATAGGTGGACTCCAATCAAGTTGTAGAAACATCTCAAGGATGATCAATGGGAACAGGATGCACCTGAGCTCAATTTCGAGTCTCATAGCAAAGGGTCTGAATACTTATACAACATGGCATTTTGATGTTTGGAATAAACAGCAGTAGCCAGTTTGGGCGATCACATTGGAAAACATGGTTTAATACCAACACATGTGACTCAGTTCAACAGAAACCGTGGTTCAATAGAAACTGTGGTTCAATAGAAACTGTGGAATTTGCACTGTTGAGTTCCTTGATGAGAACTGGATCAAGGAAAGTTAATCACAAAAATAATGTGAGATGATATTGATCTCTGACTTCCACACAAACACACTCTGGAAACAACGCTCACAAACAAACACACACACACACACACACACACACACACACACACACACACACACACACACACACACACACACACACACACATACTCAGCAGTACTGTACAGTAAGTAAGGCATGATGGGATACCTTGTTGTTGATGTGCCCTTGATCAATGCACTTAACCCTAATTGCTCCTGTAAGTCGCTCTGGATAAGTACGTCTGCTAAATTACGTAAATGTAAAATCTGAGTGTCTACAGACCTCCCAAAATGTCATAATTATAACAGATGCAGAAATACTGAACATTTACTCTCTTGTAACTTTAAATACAACTAATTTTCTATCAAATTATATAATTTCATAAACTCTTAAAACAATAAAAAAGTCCCCTCCCCACCCTTCTGCCACCGCGAGCGCAGCAGTGCGTTGCAGCACTCGTCCTCGTTGCATGCACGAGTTAGCTACCCACCGGCGCGGGCAGTGAATTTGAAATGAATATCGCCAGTAGGTTACTTACGGGGGTGCCCTTTTAAAAAAACGTTCAGCACCTGCCCTGCATGCAAGTGTAACGAGGGGCAGTGGTGCCCAGTGAGACTGTGAGAGTGGCCCTGTAAGAGGGGCAGAGTGCCCAGGTGTACTGACCTCATCATTATCCCATATATAGTCAGTCATGTCTGTGTTACACAACTAAATTACAGTAATAACTCTAATAAAGATATTACAGTAAAAAATAAACAGTACTGATATTTCAGCAGAGGGCAGTGTGTGCGATTCTCTGTGTGTATGGTTCATCTTACCTCACCTGAGATGGTAAGGAGGCTCTTCTCTACGGGCCTGGGGGCAAACCACTCTGCCACCTCTCCGCACCCACGTCGATCTCCCATTCCAGACCCAGGGTCTCAAACAGCTCTGTGCTATTCTCACTCTGAAGCAGGACACACACCAACATATCAATCAACCAATCAATTAGTCAGGAAGTCGGTCAATAAATCAATCATAACTATATAGCCCTTTTTACATAAACATTTGTGACAAAGTGCTCAACAGTAGGCTAACCCAGAGTTATAAGTGGGTTATAATTTGATTTACAGACTACATATTAACTAAGTCTATAAAACTTAAAAACCTTTAACAACCCCCTTAAAGGAAAGATTTATGTAAAGTGTAACCAAGATTTATAATCACCTCTCTACCAACAGCTGCTCAGTGGTATAAATTATTATTTTTGCAATGACACCAACTTAGGTGTCATTGCAAAAACACATAGCAAAAACAATCATTCATACCACCATAAGACAGTAAAAATACATCATTTTGAATTGTCAGAATATGAATATAGGCAATCCTTTTGTCAGAATATGAATATAGAATGTATGTTAACCTTGGATAAAAATGTAAATGTAGGATTAAATTAAATGGAAATTCAGAATGTGATATTTCTGTTCAGTATTTATTATATCTTGTTGATGCCATTTCTGTCACTCCAAATGTGTAGCCTACATTCAACCATACTTTGTAGTTACATGTTATTGTTATCAGTGGTGGTAAAAGTACCCAATTGTCATACTTCAGTAAAAGCAAAGATACCTTAATAGAAAATGACTCAAGTAAAAGTGAAAGTCACCCAGTAAAATACTACTTGAGTAAAAGTCTAAAAGTATTTGGTTTTAAATATACTTAAGTATCAAAAGTAAATGTAATTGCTAAAATATACTTAAGTATCAAAAGTAACTGTAAAAATCATTTCAAATTCCTTATATTAAGCAAACCATATGGCACCATTTTCTTGTTCTTATAATTTACGGATAGCCAGAGGCACGCTCCAACACTCAGACATCATTTACAAACTAAGCATGTGTTCAGTGAGTCCGCCAGATCAGAGGCAGTAGGGATGACCAGGGATGTTCTCTTGATATGTGTGTGAATTAGACCATTTTCCTGTCCTGCTAAGCATTCAAAATGTTACAAGTACTTTTGGGTGTCTGGGAAAATGTATGGAGTAAAAAGTACATACTTTTCTTTAGGAATGTAGTGAAGTAAAAGTAAAAGTTGTCAAAAATAGAAATAGTAAAGTAAAGTACAGATACCCAAAAATCAAGTATATTTACTTGAGTACTTTACACCACTGATTGTTATTGTACCAATGAAACAATGAATTGCCTTCCAAAGTGGTTGTGAATATCCATTTATTTTGAGAGATACCTGGTTATAAGCACAGATACGTTATCACAACTCAATAACCTAACAGAAAACAATACTTTTAATGTACTATAACCACAAGCGTCATTGACATCCTTTATTTTCTGAGAGTATTAAGAATAAAGCACCCAGTGAAGGACCATGTGTATTGAAAGAGTAGCTTTGCATATTGTCGTTCTTCTTTAGAAAGTTCTTAACTGCATAAGGAGTAACATATTTATGCTATCAATTGCACCCTATTCCTTTTATAGTGCACTACTTTGGCTCTGGTCAAAGGTACTGCACTATATAGGGAATAGGGTGACATTTGGGACACATTCAGGCATTATCCTGCTCAGGAAGTGTGCTACAATTACTCTACTCTTGGAATATTTGTAAATCACTTTCCCAGAAGAGGGCGATAGATATCAAGAAATGAGGGACCATTTAAATTTGCAACATGGCTTATATTTCCTTATCCACCTACAGTTCATTTTGTATTTTGGGTATTTCCTATCGCTTAAAGGTATACTCAGCAATATGACATCATCATACATAGCAGGGCAAACAGATATTAGCACAATATAATTCAACACTTCCACTATTGATCGTACAGATGTATGCCTTGTGCCCACATTGTGAAGAACCAAGTGTGGCAGTTTTGGCAGGTTTTACTTAGATTTTTGTTCTGATATCAGGAAGTCTCCCTGTTGGGTAACATCATGTAACTAACATTTCATATCAATGATTTTATGTGTATTACACTTTGTAATACCTGCCATTCAAATTTGCAGGAGGTTAAGTCCATATATGACAGGGTTTAAGATAGGGGGTATAACAAGGAATTGTACAGCCATTGCATTACGCATATTTAGAGTAATATTAACATTACTATTCCACCCTTGCAAATTGTCAAACAGGGTCACTATGATGAAAATAACAATTGTCAATAAATGTGGCACACATGTCTTTGTGAACTTAATCTTTCCCTCAGCTGAATTTACACAAGTCCTTACAATCTAACAGTAAGAAAAGGCAATGAAAAGTACCTGTAAAACTTGAACCACTATTGTAAAAAGGCTCCAAATCCGATTGATGGTAATGGGTAAACATGAATGCTTCAGTATAGAAGGATTGTCACAGAAGATTTTATCAATGCGAGATCCACACAAAGGAATTCTGACTGTTAAACGAAGTGTTATGAGTGCTATAAACAAAGGATCACACCAAGAAAATAAGAGTAACTTTCTAACAGTTAAAGATGTCACAATGGTATGATATAGTAATGGTCTGCATATTGCCACATACCTGTCATAAGACATCACTGTTAGAATAGACATTTCACACATGACAGATGTGTATATTACATAGGCTTGAATCAAACATCCACCATAAGATATCACCTGAACATCTGACTGAAGGTCCAGTAAGAACTTGGGGTAGAAACCAGCGGTTCCGTACAATCCATTGACACATAGACTACACAGAAAGATATACATGGGCTCATGGAGGCCTTTCTCCTGAATGATTGTTATGATCAGAGTCAGATTCACAGTGATGATGAGAAGGTATGTGATAAGAGACAAGATAAAATATAATGATTTGTTGTTAAATGTCTCTTGTAAGCCAAATAGGTAAAATAACTTGACTTGCGTTGAGTTCTCCATTGTTCATTTTCTTTCTCTGGTCAATGCAGCAATTCTTAGTCCTTACAAGGCTTGAGTGTGTATGGATGTGAATGAATGCGAGTCTGAATTTTTTTGATTCTGTGTAGGCTCAGACTAAACACAATCGTTTTAACAAAACAAATTCACATCCTCCATCAAACTATTATTCTTAAAAATAAAAAAAGATCCAGATAATATCTGTACATTATCAGACTTCTGAGGTGTGAAAGAAATAAAGAAACTTGTGTCCATGAAATGTCTTCTTGCTTGACAGAGAGAAACTGCTCCAATAACTTGTCCTGTTACCCTTTAAATATATCATAGTTTAAATGGGATCACATGGAACTATGAAATAATCATGGGATAATCACATGGATCAAATGGGATTATTATATGTGTCAACATGTAACCACTCCATAGAGATGGTTCTATTATATTGAGTGTGTGACAAGCAACTAATTTGATTATATTTACTCAGTCTATTTATGTACTAACCAATCAAAACATCAGCCAGCAGAATATAATTTTTCACCCCAATACTGAAAACGGTCCTAGAAAAGAGCCTTGGGGAATACCATATTTAATTGGTGAATTATAAAGATCAGATACTGAATATGACATAAAACATTCTCAGTTACAATACAGTGCATTCGGAAAGTATTCAGACCCCTTGACTTTTTCCACATTTTGTTACGTTAAAGCCTTATTCTAAAATGGATTAAATTAATATTTTTCCTCATCACAATACTCCATAATGATAAAGCGAAAACAGGCTTTCATAATTTTTTGCTAATATGAGACTCGAAATTGAGCTCAGGTGTTTCTACAACTTGATTGGAGTCCACCTGTGGTAAATTCAATTGATTGGACATGCTTTGGAAATGTACACACCTGTCTATATAAGGTCCCACAGTTGACAGTGCATGTCAGAGCAAAAACCAAGCCATGATGTCAAAGGAATTGTCCGTAAAGCTCAGAGACAGGATTGTGTCGAGGCACAGGTCTGGGGAAGGGTACCAGTGGCGGCTCCTGAAAAAATTCTCAGGAGGGGCAATTTTTCTGATGATTTAGGTGACCTACACACATTTTAAAAAAGATATGTCCAGCAACAACATGAAGACAGGGGCAGCATATAAGTCAATACCAGAAGCATTTATTGACTGATCTGGGGAGATGGATTCCAGTTTCTGTGACAGATTATAAATAATCTCTGATGCCTTTGTTATATTAGCTTTTGGTTGAATGTACTGTCGTAGTAAATATATAATGTTATAGCTTGGTCTGACTAAAATCTTGTGCATGACCCATTTTGTGTTGGGCCTTTGTATTCAATACAATGAACAAGAGTCCTATCTTGTCAGCCTTGTCAGCAGGTGGCTAAGGATAACACCCACGCCATAGGTCTCTCAGTTCTTCCAACTCACGAGTTCTTGCCCTGAGGACACACACACACACACCCACACACACACACACACACACACACACACACACACACACATCATCACTGATAAACACACACACACACACACACACACATCATCACTGATAACAAACACACACACACACACACACACACTGATAACAAACACACACACACACACACAAATCCTCTTCTCTTAGGCTGAACATCTGAAGACAGAGAACCCGACTCAGAGCCAATGCAACAGTGACACTAGCCTGGAGGTGACATCGCCCAACTCATCAGGACCAATCAGAAGATCAGAACTACTAGATTCAACCTACTTCATTTTATTGTATAAAATGTCAGCACACAATGTTTAGGGGCTCTTCTGATAAACTCCCTACGAGTTTGACGAACGGGTCCGTGCACGCGATTCCAGATATCTTTACCTCTGAATAAACTGCCTTATATTATACAATTATCCACCTTGTCCAAAAGTCTCTACTTTTTCTCCGTTCTCCAGTAAACTTGTTTTATCAACAATAGTAAGGTTCAATGACACAGAAAGCAGTTCAATGTCGGGGTACAGAGTCGCTCTCTTACCAGGATCGCGGTCCGCTCTGACCAGGGTGAAGGTGGCCGGCTCCACCTCTCTGTCCGGGACTCTGTCATCCAGTCAAGTCTCCCAGCTGTATTGGGATTCCGCTGCCAGCAGCGTTTTCATTATTTAGTCCGTTCGTAGCGGGTATGTACACGATCAACAAGATCAGTCCAAAACCGAAGATCAGTCCAAAGCAGAATGTTTGCAGAATGTTTGTAAACTAAGTCTACAAATTAAAAACATAAAATAACGCCACAAAGCAGGTCGCAACATAGACTCTGCTAGCCGCCATTGTCTTAGTTACGTTCAACGTTACGTCACGTATGACGAAAGCGCGTAAGTGCATGCACACAGACACCCATAGAGAATGTATTGAAAGCTTTGAAATGTGAAAAAAATAGATTTTACATGACAGGCTATGAGAGACTTCTGGGCGATTTTCAACCTGACTGAAATCGCCCAAAAAACGGGCGGGGCCATTTGAAGCACGACTTTAGCCTGATTTGACATTTAGTGGCTGGCAGATCAGACGTGAACACTGATAACTGCTGTTGCCGTGATATAATTGATTAGAAAAAAAATCCCTTCCTTTTCCCGTTTGGCAGTGCGTCGCCCATATCGCCCTATTGAACAAGCCGTCCCTGAAGGGTACCAACACATTTCTGCAGCATTAAAGGTCCCCAAGAACACAGTGGCCTCCATCATTCTTAAATGGAAGAGGTTTGGAACCACCAAGACTCACAGCTGGCTGCCCGGCCAAACAGAGCAACCGGGGGAGAAGGGCCTTGGTCAGGGAGGTGACCATGAACACGATGGTCACTCTGACAGAGCTCCAGAGTTCCTCTGTGGAGATGGGAGAACCTTCCAGAAGGACAACCATCTATGCAGCACTCCACCAATCAGGCCTTTATGGTAGCGGCCAGACGGAAGCGACTCCTCAGTAAAAGGCACATGACAGCCCGCTTGGAGTTTGCTAAAAGGCACCTAAAGAACTTTCAGACCATGAGAAACAAGATTCTCTGGTCTGATGAAACCAAGATTGAACTCTTTGCCTGAATGCCAAGCGTCACGTCTGGAGAAAACCTGGCACCATCCCTACAGTGAAGCATGGTGGGCAGCATCATGCTGTGGGGATGTTTTTCAGTGGCAGGGACTGGGAGACTAGTCAGGATCGAGGGAACGATGAACGGAGCAAAGTACAGAGAGATCCTTGATGAAAACCTGCTCCAGAGCGCTCAGGACATCAGACTGGGGTGAAGGTTCACCGTCCAACAGGACAACGACCCTAAGCACACAGCCAAGACAATGCAGGAGTGGCTTCGGGACAAGTCTCTGAATGTCCTTGAGTGGCCCAGCCAGTGCCCGGACTTGAACCCAATCAAACATCTCTGGAGAGACCTGAAAATAGCTGTGCAGCGACGCTCTGCATCCAACCTGACAGAGCTTGAGAGGATCTGCAGAGAAGAATGGGAGAAGTGTGCCAAGCTTGTAGTGTCATACCCAAGAAGACTCGAGGCTGTAATCGCTGCCAAAGGTGCTTCAACAAAGTACTGAGTAAAGGGTTTGAATACTTATGTAAATGTGATATTTATGTTTTGTATGTGTAATACATTTGCAAAAATGTCTAAAAACCTGTTTTTGCTTTGTCATTATGGGGTATTGTGTGTAGATTGATGAGGGAAAAAAACAATTTAATCTATTTTAGAATAAGGCTGTAACGTAACAAAATGTGGAAAAAGTGAAGGTCTCTGAATACTTTCCGAAGGCACTGTAAAGATTAGTCCTCTATCTATCTCTATGGCTGATATGCAGTTTGAGCCGGAGAAACTGTTTAAATAATTACATTTTACCTAATATTAGCAGAACATTCTCAGCATTCACATTTCTAGTTCTTTTAAGCACACTGGAATACATACCCATTATGTTTCTCTCCTGATTTAATGAAAACTCACATTTGAGGCTTATATTGTAGGCCATGTACAAGGTGAGATAAACAAACAGTATTTAATTTCATTCATAGGACACTTGAACAGCATTTAATCATATAAACACAACCATATTTGTTTTACAATCTGCACATGAGAGGTCTGTACCTGTAATTTTCAGATCTACAGCCAGATAATGAAACCTCTTTGCCACCAAGGGATAGCTGTGGTATTGCAGGTTTTTTTCAGTCTATGTATACTGAACAAGAATATAAATGCAACATATAAAGTGTTGGTCCCATGTTTCATGAGCTGAAATAAAAGTTCCCAGAAATGTTCCATACGCACAAAATGCTTATTTCTATCAAACTGTGTGCACAAATTTGTTTACATCCCTGTTAGTGAGCATTTCTCCTTTGCCAAGATAATCCATCCACCTAACAGGTGTGGCATATCAAGAAGCTGATTAAACAGCACAATCATTCACAGGTGCACCTTATGCTGGGGACAATAAAAGGCCACTCTGAAATGTGCAGTTTTGTCACATAACACAATGCCACAGATGTCTCAAATTTTAAGGGAGCGTGCAATTGTCATGCTGACTGCAGGAATATCCACCAAAGCTGTTGCCAGAGAATTGAATGTTCATTTCTTTACCTCCACATCCGGCTTCTTCACCTGCAGATGGCGAGCGACGCTCTGGCGTCTGGGCGAGCGGTTTGCTGATGTCAACGTTGTGAACAGAGCGCCCAATGGTGGCATTGGGGTTATGGTATGGGCAGGCATAAACTACAGGCAATTAAAATTGCATTTTATCTATGGCAATTTTAATGCACAAAGATACCGTGACGAGAGCCTGAGGCCTATTGTCGTGCCATTCATCCGCCGCCATCATCTAATGTTTCAGCGTGATAATGCACGGCCCTATGTCGCAAGGATCTGTACACAATTCCTGGAAGCAGAAAATGTCCCAGTTCTTCCAAGGCCTGCATACTCACCAGACATGTCACCCACTGAGCATGTTTGGGATACTCTGGATCAACGTGTACAACAGCGTGTTCCAGTTCCCGCC